TATATCGTGATAAATATTTTTGGTCATATCGCCCTGCTCTACCGCATATGTTCTATATACTTCCAACTTATTTTCCTGCACCAACATAACAATACCCCTCAGAACACATAATAAACACACATGAACAAAGACAGAACTTGTCTTATCCAAATGAACCAGGTCTTCCATGAGAGAGGTTTTTTTCTCTCCTCTCAATCTGGGGGAAATGCCACAGTGTGGGGCCCCTCTCGTTTCCTATTTTAAAAGAAAAAGGGAAACTAAAAAACAAAGACAAAAAACATGTGAGTCACCTGCATCGGACCCTCACCACTCCATCGACGTGCCATATTCCATCACGGCCAGGGGAGGAGGCCATCCAACCATATACCCCCCTGTATTGATCAGCAGCCTGCACCTGTTGTTCCGTAGGTCTTATGTTCATCTTAACAGCGAAATGGGGCTGGTGGGGCACAGGTGTTACTCCTCCATACCGACGTCCTCCGTGCGCTGGAAAACCTTCAGCTTTTCCCGTGCGCTCCCGCGTAGATCAGCTGTATTCCCAGCGCGTCGCAGTCCAACTGCTGATCATCTCCGCCGTAATGCCTTTGGGCTTTCTTGTGGCCACCAGTCCCCACCGTGTATCCGCGTCTTCTTAGATCCGCCGCAGCTTCCTCCGCGCTATTGTATAGGACCATTCCCGAAGTCAAAATGAACCTATGTTAAACAGATAGTGAGACTCCTTGTCCATATCTCAGAGGAGAGGAGGGACGATTTAGGATGTAAATTCTTAGGCAACAGCTAAGTGAAAAACAAATTTGTAACTTTCTCTCCCAGTGGAAGGTCCAAGAAGGTCTATTCTATTCTATTCTATTCTATTCTATTAGGCCAGTAATTGACTGTCAACTTTTCCAAGGTGTAGTCTGTCACCCTGTAAATGCTGGGATGGGCTCCAGGTCCTTGTGACCCTGAATTGGATGGATTGATGGACTGATTGTGTTTTTGTACTGGCACTGTACTTTGTTAGTACTGAAATAAAGACTTACAGTACCTTGCCTAGCCAGTGTGAGAAGCCGTCTGCGCTCTCCTCGGCTGCAGTGTGTTGGGAAGCAGAAATCTTCAATACCTCGAACAACACTAACCTCACAGCGTACAGCGTACGATCTGTCCAAGTCATCACCACCCTACACACACACACACACACACACACACACACACACACACACACACACACACAATTTATTAGCCAGATCAATTGGGATGGGAATTGATGAATCAATTTTAAAAATCAGTCAATAAAATGAATGTCCATATAAACATTACTTTAATTTTATTGATTATAGACTGCTCCAATATTTTCATCCTCCGACACGAACTGAAATCAGCTGATTGTAGGGCACACAGCCTTCAATTCATGCTGCGATTATTTTCGGGTTTATTATTCACAGTGTTTTGAGTAGCTACCTTCAAGTTGTCACAGTTCAAGTCACTCTCTGGTGTCTGGCTGGTGATCTTCTGTTCATGATATGCTTCAATAAC